GTGAGGAGACATAAGTTTCCCACCTCCTTTTCCTGGCTGGTGAGATCTTGGAGGTCCAGTGGTTGAAACTCAAAATTTAGGGTATGGAGCTGGACCCAAGGAGTGGAGGCTCAAACAAGGGAAGGGACAGCCCCTTCAGTCCATAGATTTGGGCCTCTGGTCTGAAGCAGCCAGGGCCTGGATGTTAAAGGAGAGGAAGTGCAGGGCTTGGAACCAGGCTAGCTCTTCACTCAGCCTCACCTTCCTGGGGCCGGGAGAGCAGGTTGAGTTTTCTTTGTAACTGGGCCCGGAGGTAGCGGAGGTCTTGCTGGTCAAGTCCGTGAGCCAGGCCCAGGTAGAGTGTAAGGAGGAGAGCAAGGAGGAGGCGGTCAGTGCCCAGGGTGGGCACCACCCACAGCACTGTCAGCAACTCCACACAGACTGGGTGGCGCAAGTGGGAGAAGAGTCTCAGAGCCCGGGGAGACTTCAGGGCCAGAGGCTCACCCAGCCCCAGCACATGGTAGTATACCTAGGAGGGAGAACAGCTTAGAAATGAAGTCAAACCCTTTTTGCAACTTAGCCACCTCTTTCCTCCCTTTGGAGGAAACTTCCCCTTCTATAACTCGGGCCCAAGAACCACCCTTCTGAGACCTGGACTCCTGATTCTCATCTCTGCTAGGCCCAGGAGGCCTATGGTTTCTGACCTTTGAGGGAAAGCTGAGGGGAGACTCTCTTAGAAAAGGAAGTAGGTGAGGGAGTTGAAAGAAGAGGAAGGTGGAAGAGCATGGGAGGAGGAGGAGGAGGAGGGAAATCCTTGAAAGGGAAAGAGGCATTCTAGAGGGAATCAGAGGTCTCAGGTAGGAATCTGGGAGCCTCACCTGTTTGAGGCCCATGAGCTCGGCGTAGTCAAAGACGAGAAGGATGCTGAAGATGAGGAGCCAGGCTATGACGTGGAGCACAAAGCAGAGGAGGGGCACCCAGGTGGCCCATGGCTCAGCTCGAGCCTCCCACAACACAGGGCCTCTGGGTACAGGTTCCCAGTACCGCATCACCAACTGGGAAAGGATGAGGGGCTGGGTATCTCAGCAGCCTACCCTTGAAAGACCTAGACCCAGAGGCTGCCCCCACCCCAGGCTGGCCTGCAGTTCTCCCCACCTCTACCATGAGCATCATAAACAAAAATTCACCATGTGGAGCATGCTAGGTGGGGTCCCAAGGATGTAAGGATAACCTGTATCTACCCTGAGGACTTAAGAGAACAGACGGGGGTGACCAGATAGGTACATAAAGTAGCCTGTGCCAAGCACACACTGAGAAAACAAATGTGTACTAACTGGGAAGCCTCCTCTTGAGACCTCAAGAAGTGATTCTGAAGAAAGGGTAGGACTGAAAGAGGTGCCACCAAAGGGATCTCAAGCAGAACAACATGAACAAAGTTGCAAAGGTGAGAATGCACATATGGTACTTGGGGAATGAGGAGTGGTACACCATTCTTGATAAGAAGAAGGATATGTGCTGTGGAGGAATGGAAGCTGAGATTAGAGTCCTAAACACCCTAAATTCCCCTAAACCCACATTTTATCCGAAGGCTAAGGTCCTTGCCCCTTCAACTGAGGGCACCCTTCTCACAGATTGTTTCCCTTGGGGACTCAGTGGCCAAGGCCTCATACCTGCAATGCCAGGGCAGTGCATGCCACGTACAGTGACCTCTGAAGAACCCCAAAATATCGAGACATCCACGCCTTCACTGTCTCAGTTGCCATGAGGCTGTGCTGCCCCACAAATAGTATCAGGAGACCCAGATCCCAAGCCAGGGGGGCAAGGATGCTGCAGTCCTGCAGAGCAGCCAGCCATCCTTGGCGGGCATCTAGGGGGAGTTCAAGAAGGGGACAAAAGATCAAGAAAGTTTCAGGAAACACCCCCTACCCTAATCTCCTCTTGGGGGTCCCAGGCCATGTCCTTTAATGCTTTCAAGAGCCTTAATGCTTCCTCTCCTGGTTTTTCCCATATTGCTTTTCCATTCTCTGCCCTTTCCCTTTTCCCCAGGCCTCCTTCAGAGTGGGGGGGGGAGGATTCCTTCAATCACAAAAGGCTTGGCTGGAGAGGCCACCATTGGACTATCCTCGTGTTTTCGGTACTCCAAATGTGCCCTCTTTTTAACACTCCCCTCGCCATAGTCCTCTCTACAAAAGCACTTTCCTTTCCTCTGCTTCTTATCGCCTTTTCCCTCCCCACTCAGTCCTAACTCTTGCGCCTCTCCAAACCGCTAATCCCTGAGTTCCTAATTTAGCCCTCGGTCAGCCCTGAAGCTTCTCGAGCTTTCAAGGTTCTAGTTCCCTCTCCCGGACTTCCCCTGTCATTTGTCTCGAAGCCCCGCCCTCCCTCGCTCTCGTCCGGCTCCACCTCCAGCCACAGAGCTCATCCTCGATCCCTTCCGCTCACCCGGACCCCCAGGCTCCGGGAGCCCTCCAAGAAGTGGCCGAAGAGAGGTAAAGCGCACGAACTCCACTCCGGTGCCAAAAGCCAGGATGAAAGAGGCGAGGGCAGCAGGGACGAGGAGCAGAGTTGGGGCCATGGCGACACTCGGAGGGGTTGGGAACAGGGCGGGTATGGGATTCCCGCGGCCTCAGGCCCCGCCCCCGCCCCCGCCCCCGCCCCCACCTCCACCTCCAGCCTGGGGTCCTGCCCAGGAAGGCGTGGCTCCTTCGCGCCGCTGCCTCGGCGTGCGTTCTCCGCGCGCTTTTTTTTCACACTGTCCCTAGGGCGGGTCCCGGCGCCTTGACTGAGCGTGCGGTCGCCGCGTCATAGAAGGGAATGTTAGAATTCTGAGTGACAAGTGGAAACGTAGGCTGCTCTGCAGCCACTCGTGTGGGTTGAGTCGCAGCTCGGCTAGTTGTCTCATCTAAAATGAAGACAGTTCGTTCGTTTCTTTCAGGGTTCTTGTAGAAAACGAGAATTATAAACCCCCTTTTCTGTAACCTTAGCCACTAAACATAGCCAAAGTCAGAGGTTACAAAGCGTCGGTTAGCGCTTCAAATAGGAAACGGTGAGAGAACGGAAGACTGTTGACCGAGGCTGAAAACCCAAAGGTCTGAATCACCTATTACATCTTGTTAAAAAGTTAGTGACCATTTTACCATAAAGTAAATTAATGTTTATTCTGTAACTTATTCTCTCCACTTGCCAAGGACAGAGAATTTCTCTGTAACACTTAGATTATTTCTAATAATGCCAAAGGCTGTTGATCTATAATCATGAGAATAACAATGTTAAATATTTGTGATAGAAAATTTTGTGTTGTAAACTTTGTAGTAGGTTAATTTTACCCAAGCTTGTGATAATTATGACTTTACTCTGCAAGCTCATAAGCCTGACCACCATCCACGAGTCAGAAACCGCTAAGATCTTTTGTCTGAATTTTTTCCTCCAGACCTGTTTGTAATACCTACAGAATAACATATTTGAAAAGCAAAGTAAAAATAAGGTTTTCCTCCATCTGAATTAAACATCATGTTGCTAAGGACCTAGTCACAGTACCTATGACCATAGCAGGGACCTTAGAACATCATGTAGCGAAATCCTTCAGCTTACAGACATAAGAATATAAAGAAAATTTACCAAGATGAGAACTAAGTTGCTGCTAGTCCTGTGGGCTCATGGATGAGAAAATTGCCAGGCAGCATCCCACAGCCTTTACTTTCCTTCTGTTGGAGGATCAGTACTCCCACCCTCCTCTGAATCAGTGCTGTTGTAAACTATACCAGTCTTATGTTTTCCCTCCAGATGCACCCTTCACCCTTCTTGTTCGAGGTTGTCCCGAATGGACTAAATCAATGAAAATCACAGCTTTTATTGAGGAAGCACTCTCTGCATAACTGCTCTCTCCTCTCAACCTTTTGGACTTAGAGGTGGTCACAATAGAGCTGTGAGTACTAGGGTACTGTAACATTATGATTTCTCTACACTCTCCCAACTTCCTTGTCATTTTCACTGTATTAAACTCTCTCCAATTATCCTAATTTGACTGTGCTGTTATTTCCTGCTAGGACCCTGATAGAAATACATTATTTGTACTACTATAGTATTCATTGGAAGTGTAAGAAAAGATCTCTATTCTCCAGAAGTTTAAACTGGGACACTTCAATGTCACTAAGTCAAGGTGCAGATGAGTGCTAAAATGGGGGTATAGAGACAGCTAGTACTGTAAGGCGCCCCATGAACCTCAAGGCCATAGACAGTTTCACACAGTACAAGATTCTGAGTGTGCAAGGGGACTAATATTTATTTGGGTCCTACTGTGCTGACAGCTCAGAGCCTGGAGCCTGCTTCAGATTCCGTCTCCCTCTCTCTGCCCTTCCCCCCCTTGCACGTGTGTGCTCTCTCTCTCTCAAAAATAAATAAACATTAAAAAAGAGAGACATGTTTATATGTTTAAAAGTCAGCAGTATGTGGCAAAGCTCATGCTGTTTCTACTACACCAAAGTTTTACAAACTTAAGTATAATTTACTTGCAGAAAAGCCACTAACTAATCACCCATCTTTGTTATTAAAGTGAAATTCACAAAACATAAAAACAACTATTTTAAAGAGAACAATCCAGTGACATTTAATACAATTCATAATGTGTGCAATCACCATCTCTATCTAGTTCCAAAGCATTTTTATCATCCCAAAATAAAACCCTATACCCATTAAGCAGTCACTCCCCATTTCCCCCTTCTCCCAGCTGCTGACAACCACTACTCTACTCTGTCTCTGTGAATTTACCTATTCCAAGTATTTCATGTAGGTGGAATCATCCCAGGTGACTTTGTGTCTGGCTTCTTTCACTTAGTATAATGCTTTTGAGGTTCATTCTCAAAACATTGTAGCAAGAATCGATACTTCATCTCCTTTTATGGCTGAATAATATTCTGTTGTGTGGATATGCCACATTTGTTTATTCACCTGTTAATGAACATTTTTCTTTTCACCTTTTGGCTCTAATGAAGTATAGATATGAACATCTGTGTACAAGTATTTGTTTCAACATGTGTTTTAAGTCTTTTGGGTGCACACCTACTAGTGGAATTACTGGGTCTTTTGGTAATTCTATGTCTGATTTTTTAGAAATTGTCAGATTGTTTACCACAGCAGCTGAACCATTTTATATTCCCACCAGCAATATGTGATAAGGGTTCCAATTTCTCCACATCATTGAAATCAACCAACTTTTAAACTTTAAATTTAAGGGGCACTTGGATGGCTCAATTGGTGGAACATGCAACTCTTGATCTTGGGGTTGTGAGTTCAAGCCCCACAGTGGGTGTAGAGCTTACTTTAAAGACAAAAATAAACAAATACATAAATAAGATGTAAGATTATAAATAAATAATACATAAATTTAAGATGTTTAAAAAAAACCTGCACTACACCATGAGGCAGAGTGAATATTTATTTATCACAGAAATTAAACCTAAGCTCTAATTTTATAAATACTGGAAAAGCAGGCCAGAAAAGTGCAAAGATCTGCTCAAAGTCAAAACTAAAGAACACTTCTAACAAGATGGGGTGAGGAGAGAGGAAAATATTTTAGTAGCATTCCATACCTCCAACCTCAAATTTACTCACTCCAAGCATCCCTTCAAGTTCTTGACACTAAAATTGTTTCTACTCTCTTTCAGAGGATGAATAAGAATCCCAGTCAAAGAGGGAGAGAGATGGCTTCCAAACAGGAGGCAGGACACCATGTGTGCCACACAGCAGTAAGTACATCAGTCCTGCTAAGGGCAGCCACTTATGATATCTGAGAATGGGATTACCCAACTCTAAGTGGCCATTTGAGAAATCTGTGTCTCATCAGGTGACCCAGCTGCCTCCCACTCCTTGTGTCTCAATCTAAACACTGAGTGACCACTGACATGCTCCAACTCCTGGGCTGTAGTGTCTTTGTGGAGATGGTAAATAGACCTGAATAGCTTATAGGAGGCCCCTCCCTTCTCAAAGATGGGAGGGGTCTCTGCCTCAGTTTCCCCTTCTAGACAGCAGAGGGCTCTGGCTGTCCCCCACTGATATCATTATGGAACCCCAGCTGGGGTCCCTATTCAGTGCTGACTCCCCCCTCCTAGCAGCTGCTCTTCCAAACACACCCCTCCTCCTGCTGCCCCAGCCCTTGACACTGGCTGGCCTTCCCCCCCCCCACACAGGCCACGAGATGGGCTCCTGAGACCCTCCCCCAGCAAAGGGCTACCTGCAGCTCATTCTGGAGAGAGAGAGCAGGCAAAAACTTGGACTGGCAGATAGAGGCCTGGGGAGTCAGAGTGCCTCAGTTTCCTCCTCAATAGCAACTGAGTATTTATAGTATCTGAAAGCAGGCTTGATACTTGATGGCACAAATGTAGACTTCATCTCCTTTCCCGCTTCCTGCAGGAAGCAGGATGGGGGCAGGTAGCACCTGGTAGGCAGGATGGTTTGCCCCTCCCTCCTCCATCCCTTCTGGAAGTTTTGGGGCCTTAGTGCCTGCAACAGCCAGCCTTGGGCAAATAAAAGACTAGGTTGTTTACTAAAAAAAAAAAAAAAACAACAACTGTGGCTAAAATCTCATTATCTTTTTGTTTATCCATAAGCCTTGTTAGCCCCACCCATGTTCTAAGACAAATCAGGTCAGCATACCCCAATTCTTTCTAAAGCCCTAGGTTCTTTCTTCCAAATCTTTTCTAACACTTTATTTACTGGTCTGGGAGGGAAAACAGTAAGTACTGTGGTGATGTTTTCACGAGGATGACATTTCCAAAGTGGAGAGGATGAAGGCCTCTGGCTTGGCTTCCTGCTTCAGCACTCCTGTCAGCAGGAACTCAGGTGAGAGAATGGGCAGCCCAACCCGAAATGGAATAGAGCATCGAGAGAAGTCCTGGGAGCATGTAATCACAACTCTCTGAGGCTGGGAAAGACAGAGAGCAAAGACAAAGTCATGGGTGAAAAACAATCCTAGAAATAGGTTTGGAGTCCACAAATCAGTTTCAGCATCGCTACAATATACCTCCTGATAGGAAGCACACTTGCTGGAAGTACTCTTCCCAGAAAAACTGAACCTGAATTTATTCGAGCTTTTAAAATTAACTACAATTTACAAGGAATGTAAGAGATGGAAGAACAAGATAAATTACACAGCAAAGGAGCAAACAGAAAAACCCAGACTGGAACATTCTAAAGAACAACTGACATAGTTTCTGCAGGAAGTCAATGGAATAAGAAAGGCTGGGTGGGTTGGGGGGGGGGGGGGGGGGATCTTCTAGAGTAAAAGAGAATTAAGAGACATGCAATTGTGAGGGGAACCTGGGTGGCTCAGTCAGTTAAGCAACTTATTTCAGCTCAAGTCATGATCTCAGGGGTGATGAGATGGAGCCCTGAGTTGGGGCTCTGTGCTGTCAGGGCAGGGCCTGCTTGGGATCCTCTCTCTCTGTCCCTTCCTGCTCACATGTGCAAGCATACTTTCTCTCAAAAATAAACAGGGGTGCCTGAGTGGCTCAGTTGGTTAAGCCTCCAACTTTGGCTCAGGTCATGATCTCACAGTTCGTGGGTTTGAGCCCCGCCTCAGGCTCTGTGTTGACAGCTGAGAGCCTGGAGCCAGCTTCAGATTCTGTCTCTTTCTGCCCCTACCCTGCTTGCACTGTGTCTCTCTCTCTCTCAAAAGTAAATAAACATTCGGGGCGCCTGGGTGGCTCAGTCGGTTAAGCGTCTGACTTCGGCTCAGGTCATGATCTCACAGTTTGTGAGTTCGAGCCCCACATTGGGCTCTGTGCTGACAGCTTGGAGCCTGGAGCCTGCTTAGATTCTGTGTCTCCCTCTCTCTCTGACCCTCCCCCCTTTCATGCTCTGTCTCTGTCTCAAAAATAAATAAAAATTAAAAAAAATAAATAAATAAACATTAAAAAAGTTTTTTTAAATAACCATTAAAAAAAAAGGAGATTGCAATTGTGGCAATACTTGGACCTCATCTGAATCTTGACTTGAATTATAAAGACACATTTTTGGCCAATTGGAAAAATCTGACTAATGGACTCTGAGAAAATGACAAGAAACTATTGTTAATTTTGTTATGGATCAATAATGGCGTTGTGATTATGTAAACAAACATACATCATTTCTTACAGAAGTATACTTTAAGTATGTAGGGGGAAATAATATGATGCTTGTAGTTTCCTTTAAGATACTTCAGCAAAGGAGCGCCTGGGTGGCTCAGTCAGTAAAGCATCTGACTCTTGGTTTCAGCCCATGACATGATCTCATGGTTTGTGAGTCTGAGCCCCGCATCAGGCTCTGCGCAGAGCCTGCTTGGGATGATCTGTCTCCCCTCTCTTTCTGCCCCTACCTTGCTCATACTCTTTCAAAATAAATAAACTTTACAAAACTTTTTTTAAGTACTTCGGCAAAGAAAAAAAAAGGGATAAATGCAGACGATATAGCAAAATCTAAGCTACCTTGTTAAATCTGAGTGACTGACATATGGAGGTTCATTGATATATGGAAGTTCTCTCTCCCTTTGTGTATATTTAAAATATTAAAAATGCAAAATAAAAATCCATTTGGAATCAGCAAACCTCTCCTACATTCCTATCCCTTTATATACCACAGAGCTTACCCCCACCCTCTCACTACTCTGTGTTTCTATCCATACCAGTATTCTCCAAACTTTTCCCATTCCAGCCACCTCTTTAACTGCCACCTCACTAGACCCAAAACATACCACCCATACCTTATAGGAGCGGGGCATGCTGGGTAGGACAGTGCCTCCACAGCAGCTGATGATCTCTCCCATTTGAGGTGGTGGTGGCTGGACTCCTGGGGTCACATGGATCTCATAGCCCTAAGCAGAAGAAAACAGTGAAGACCATAGATGTATGCACTGAGAGCCCATGAACAGCTGGAGAACCTCAGGAAGGAGGCCTGAAGCATGGGGCAGAAGACAGCCTCTCACCTCTAGCAACCTTCTCTCCCGAGCCCGGCTCAGGGCATCTCGAAGGCTGAAGCCAAAGTTCTTCTCCTGCTCAGGATCAGTCACCACATATTCATCCGGGGGCAAGAAGCAACCAGCCTTGCGGGACTAAGGATAGCAGCAGTGAGCATTAAAGCTGAGCCCAGCCTACCACCCAGCTCTTCTGCTTATCATGTGGACGGAGCTTATGAAATGTTCTTTGAATTAAGCTGCTTTCTGCCTCATTCACCTCCCTTGTCTTCCTTTACCCCCTTTCCCCTCACTACTTTCTAGAGCATCATGTGAGCAGTCTTCTGCCATCAATATCTCTGCTGGTGTGCTATCACCTCCTGGCCTCTCACCTGGTGCAGCCAGTCCAGGGAGAGGATGGGGATCCCCCGCCCCAGGGCACACAGGAACTTGACCGTGCGGCGGACTCGATCAGTCACCAGGTGGGAAGCCTCTGCCACTGAGCTGGCCAGACTCCCACCCAGGGCCAGCACCGCCCGTTCTCCACGGGCATCCACCACACCTGTGAAGAGTACCTGTGGAGGGAGTTAGCCTAAGCTGGTCACGGCAACCCATGCCATCAGTGTCTATCTCTGAACCCCTAAGTCTCCTCCCATCCTCCCATGTCTGTCTCCCACCAAGCCCCAGGCCCCTTCTCTCCTACTTTGGGTGCTGTGGACTCTTGGTTAGGTTTGACCCGCCGAAGGCTGCAGCTTGGGATTCCCCTGGGCTCCTCCTCTGTTTGGTCTCTCTTTCTCTTGCCTGGTCCTGGAATCACTGCCACCTGGGATTGAGAAAGATCTTGCTGGGAGTTTCCGAGCCTCCAAGCCCTTTCCTAGCTTCATGGCCCCAGCCCTCACCTCACCTCACCTCGTCCTTCCTTGGGCTCTCTGCTGAATCTTCTTCCTCTTTGTGGAGGGACACGGTCTTCTGTTGGAGCCGTTTTTGAAGTGGGGGTGAATCCACAGTAGCCAAAGGCCTCTTGCGGCTCTGAGAGGGCTTAGACTGGGGCTCTGGGGTGAACTCAGATCTGCCTGCTGCCTCTACCTTTTGGATCTGGGTAGCATGAGTGGGGGCCTCAGGAAGCTGGGCAAGAGCAGGCTCGGGAATGGTCCTAAGAGACTCCACTGCTCTCACTGCTCGTCTTTGGTTCTTTGAGGATCGAGAGTTAGGTTCAGGGGGTGCAGAGTGGGGCTGATGGACAATGGGAGCTGTGAAGGACCCATGCTTCCTTGTGGCCCTCCGCTTCCTGCTGCAGTTGGCTTGAGGGATGGGCTCAGGGGGAACAGGCTGGCCTATGAGGTCAGGATTCTGGGATTCATGGGTGGTAAGAACTGGCACAGCACTTACTGTAGACCTTAGTGTCTTACCCTGACCACCCTCAGCTATAGCCTTAGGGGTGACCAGTTGATCTATGGGGTTGAGAGATTCAAGGTCAGAGGCTGTAGATTCAATTGGTTGGGGGATCTTGACAGAGGACCTATGTATCCTTCCCCGAGTGGCCCGAAATGTAGGCTCAGGGGTGACAGGCTGATCTGTGGAGATGGAAGGCTGGAGCTCAGAGGCTGTGGGGACAACTGGCTCAGGGGTCTTGACCAAGGACCTTTGTGTCCTGCCCCGAGTGGCCCGAGGTGTGAGTTTGGGAGTGACAGGCTCGTCTGTGGGGGTGGAAGCCTGGAGCTCAGGGACTGTGGGGACAACTGGTTTGGGGGTCTTGCTAGAAGACCTGGGTGTCCTGCCCTGAGATTTACGTTTGGGGGTGACAGACTGGCCTTTGGGGGTGGTAGGCTGGAGCTCAGGGGCTGTGGGAACAGTTGGTTCATGGGTCTTGACAAAAGACCTGGATGTCCTGCGCTGAGATGTAGGTTTGGGGGTGACAGACTGGTCTGTGGGGATGGAAGACTGGACTTCAGGAGCTGTTGGGACAACTAGCTCAGGAATCTTGACAGAAGACCTAGGTATCCTGCTATGAGTGGCCCCAGATGTGGGCTCAGTGAGGACAGACTGGTCTTTGGAGGTGGTAGGCTGGAGTTCAGGGGCCGTGGGGACAGTTGATTCAGGACAGATCTTGACAGAGGACCCACGTGTCCTGCCTCGAGTGACTCGAGATGTGGGCTCAGGGGTGACAGGCTGGTCTTTGGAAGTAGAAGGCTGGAGCTCAGGGGCTGTGGGGACAATTGCTTTGGGAGTCTTGACACAAGACCTACGTGCCCTGCCCTGAGTAGCCCCAGATACAGACTCAGTGAGGACAAACTGGCCTTTGGAGGTGGAAGGCTGGAGCTGAGAGGCTGTGGAAATAACCGGTTCAGGGGTTTTTACAAATTTATGTGTCCTGTCCTGAGATATGAGCTCAGGAGTGACAGACTGGTCTTTAGAGGTGGAAGGCTGAACATCAGGGGCTGTAGGGACAACTACTTCAGGGGCCTTGACAGAGAACCTTTGTGTCCTACCCCGAGTGATCCGCGATGTGAGCTCAGGGGTGATAGGCTGGTCTTTGGAAATGGAAGGCTGGAGCTCAGGGGCTGTGGGGACAACCAGTTCAGGGGTCTTCACAGAGGACCTATGTCTCCTGCCCCGAGTGACCTGAGATGTGGGCTCAGCACTGAGGGGTTGGTCTGTGGGAATGGCAGTATGAGGTTCAAGGGCTACAGAAGAAACTGTAGAGGGTGTCTTCCTGGAGGACCCTCGGAGCCTGACTTTGGGTTTTGGCAAGGGAGTCTCTGGAACTTTCTGATTCCTGTTTTGCCTGGTCCTGGGAATGGGCTTTAAAGAAGATGGAGAGGAAGAACAGAAGGGCTGAGGTACAGGATGTTTTTGACTCTGAAAGAGGAGGGGGTTTTGGTGTGGGGCTGAAGCTTCAGGCACTGCAGGAGGCTGACAAGCATCTGTGGATTCCTGATCACCCTGAGGAGAAATAGAAGCAAGTGAGGGAGGAAGAGGCAGAAAGAAGAAAGACAGTACTTGAATACTGTTCTTGATACTTGTTTATGGTTAGACTGTGTTCCTGGCATTTCACTTGTCTATGACCTCCCTTCCTAAGACTGGAAACTTCCTGGGGAGGGAGCAGTCCTCGTTCCCACAGACCCCACCTCATGCTAGAATAGTGTTCTCCATAGATGGATGATGGCAATAAGAGGATGGTTGGAAAAAAGAGGGAAAAGACACAAAAAAATGGATATTCTGAGTTAGGTACAGGGAGACAGAACTTGAAAAACAGATACAGAAAATGACAGGTGCCAAGGGAAAGGGAAAGAAACCAACTAGGAGTGGTGACAACAGATTAAAACTGGGAAGACAGAGAAAGGAGTAGATTGGAGCAAGGTTAGGGGAAGGAACAGTGGAATAGGAGGAGGCAGAAACAGCAGCTCTCACCCCGAAGGCCTTCTCAGCAGGTGGCACCTCACAAGTCAAGTGACCTAGACAGAAAGAAAAAACAAGTGTAGCTGAGGTCTAAGCAGTCAGTCACTTGGGGGTTGATTAGCACGAAGGCTAACCTGGGGTTCCCCTCTGTCTTCACTTACCTCTCTGCTGCCTCCTGGGGCTCATTGGGACTCCCTCTCCTCCACCTGACTGGCTCCCAGAAGCTACTGAGGCTGAAGCAAGTCCCTGATGACTGCCTGTCCCTGTTTCAAGCTCTAGTGTTGGACTGGAGGCTTGCCCTTCCTGGTCCTGGCTCCCTTTCTCAGTCTCCCCTCTCTGTGGGCCTCTCTCCAGTATTACTTCCGGTACCTCAACTCCTAATCCATTTGGCTCACCCTCTCTCTCTAGTACTAGTTTCTCTGTTTCTCTCTCAAATATTTCTCTTGCAAGAATCTGCTTTTCTATTTCTTTCTCTGGTATTTCCCTGGTTATCTCAATTTCTACGTTCAAACTCTCCATATTTCTTTTAATACTTGCAATTTTCACCTTTTGGTCAGACTCTTGTCCTTGAGTATCTCTAGCTAACACCTGTATCCCTCTGGTTAACTCTTCTTCTCCTATCACATCTTCTTGTTCTCCTGATGGCAGGTTCTCAGTTTCCCTGTCCAATGGTCCTCTCTCAGGGGCCACCCCCTCTGCTGCTTCTCTTGGTATCCCCATGTCTTTTTCCATAGTCTGCATCCCTTTGTCCTGAATTCCCAATGGCTCTATGTGAACTGGGCTTCCTGGATTTTGGCCTTGTGGTATTGTCCAAGGTGTAGAGAGGCAGGATCCATGGGCATCAAGAGGAGCAACAATGGGCTCGGGCTCAGGGGCCTCAAACTCTCTCGGACAGAATGGCTGTGTTGCCAAGACCTCCCACGGCTCATCCAAGGTACCTGGAAGGAGAAAGGGAGAGAGAGAGATACAGATTGAAAATGTAACAGGTTGAGAAAAGATTAAGATAAATTCATGAACAGTAAACCTAAATGGATTATTAAAGGAAAGTTGGGAATAAGGAGGACAGTTATAACATTTAGTATTTGTCTAAAAAATAAGACCGCACACACGTACATAAATTCTCATAGGGGTGCCTGGGTGGCTCAGTTGGTTAAGCATCCAACTTCGGCTTAGGTCATGATCTTGTGGTTCATGAGCTCAAGCCCCACATCAGGCTCTCTGCTGTCAGCACAGAGCCCGCTTCGGATCCTCTATCCCCCTCTCTCACTGCCCCTCTCCAGCTCGTTCTCTCTCAAAATAAATAAATAAAGTTAAAAAAAAAAAAGTTCTCATAGCAGCCTCTTTAAAAATGACGGAGGGGCGCCTGGGTGGCTCAGTTGGTTAAGTGTCCGGCTTGATTTCAGCTCAGGTCATGATCTCATGATTCGGGATACTGAGCCTTGCATCAGGCTCTGCATTGACAACGAAAGCCTGCTGGGGATTCTCTCTCCCTCTCTCAAATAAATAAATAAACTTTAAAAAAAAAAATTTAAAAAGATGATGGAGATGGAGAAACATCAGCAAAAGTCAAACAATATGAAAAAAACATGTAGAGGGAGAAAGCAATGATGCCAAGTTAGGGGCATGAAAGACAGAATAGCTTATACCTGTATCCTGGAAGCTACAGCAGGAAGGACCAGGCTCTTGGGGTAAAGTAACCAGAAACGCCTGGGTGGCTTCATCCTCCATGCTCTGGGCTGTTGCACAAGAAAAGCCAACTCAAGCACAGCTCCTCCACAGAACTCCAGGGTCCCATTCCTGGTTTCTTGCCTCACCCATGCTAGCTTTCACAACCTTCAAGGACCACCACTTTGGGCTCCCAGGTCCCACCTGCACCAACATCCACATGACATGGATGTCCTCACCTTCCAGATTCTGATTGTCTCTCTCCACAAAGCACTGGGTAGCCTGTAGGTCCAGGTCTTCAGAATCTGGTGGAGGAAGAATAGAGGATCGATAATAAAAACTCTACCTGACCCTTAATTCCTTACTCTCTCTACCATTTTCTCCCTAACCCAAATCCTTCTGCAATGGACCAAATGTGTGTATCCCCCAAATTCATATGCTGAAATCTAATTTCCAACGTGAGTTTATTAGGAGGTGGGGCCTTAGGGAGATGATTAGTACATGAGGGTAGAACACACGTAAATGGGATTAGTACCCTTAAAAAGAGACCCCAGAGGGGCGCCTGGGTGGCTCAGTCGGTTAAGCATCCGACTTTGGCTCAGGTCATGATCTCGCAGTCCGTGAGTTCAAGCCCCGCGTCGGCCTCTGTGCTGACAGCTCAGAGCCTGGAGCCTGTTTCAGATTCTGTATCTCCCTCTCTCTCTGCCCCTCCCCCGTTCATGCTCTGTCTCTCTCTGTCTCAAAAATAAATAAACGTTAAAAAAAAAAAAAAAAAGAGACCCCAGAGAGTTCCCTTGTGCCCTCTGCCATGTAAGGACATAGTAAGAACACAGCTGCCTATGAACAAGGAAGCAAGTCTTTACCAGAACATGACCAATCTGGCATTTTGATCTTAGACTTACCAGCCTTCACAACTGTGTGAAAAATAAATTTCTGTTATTTATAAGCCACCAGTATTCTGTTATTACAGCCCAAATGGACTAAGATACTCTATAAGCATTCTTTCTTTTAGGGGTCAAGGGAGAAGGCCAGCACTTACCACCGTGGTTGTCTCCAGAGTCCTGGGTCCTGTCCATATGTGGTTCTCTCTCCCTTTCTATGGAGGTCTGGGCTCCCTCTCTCTGTGGCTGGATGGATTCCCCTGAAGTGCCTGTGACCACCAGATCATTAATATCCTCCCTTGAGACAGGGAGGTGATCCTGCTCCACCTGTGAAACAAGTGACCCACCCTGGGCCCTCGCCTCAAGATCTCTCTTGTGCTCAAGAACAGCTACAGCCCTCTTTGCCCCAGCATCCTCTTCTGCTGGAAGCTGGCTCTTTCTTATATCTGCCACCACTGAAGCTGCTAAGGATATGCCCTCCACATCTGTCTCACAGTCCCCAGATGGAGGTTTGGCTTCCTCTAGATGCATCACAGGCAGCTTCGCTTGGCCCTCTTCTACTTCCACATCTGTTTGATCTGTCCATACCAGAGGCACCTGATGCTTCTCCACAAGTATAACAGCTGACCCTGGTGGGACTTTCTCCTTCACTTGTATGTTGATGTCCACTGTGGCAGAGGCTTGGCTTCTCTCCAGATGGACCCCAAGTGAGCTCTTATCTTTGTCCACCCCTAGATCACTGTTTTGGGGAGGAGGTTGCCTCTTTTCTGAATATGCCTTGTCTGTGTGACCCTTGAAAACAGTTCCTCTCTTTTCCATCGGGAGACCCTCCTCCTCCATGTCTGTGTCGCTATCTCTCCCAGTAGAGGTTTGGTTTTGCTCCAGAAGGGCCACAGGTTGGGCCCTGTCCTCTTCCAAATCTGTATCTCTGTTCCATGTAGTTGCTCGGCTCTCTTTCAGATGTGCCAAAGCGAGTGCTGCTAAGACTTCTTCCTCACCATCTGTATTGCTGTCAATCACCACAGAGGCTCGGCTTCTCTCTAGAGGGACTGCCAGCTGGATCTCACCTTCCCCCACATCTGTATCACTACCAGTTGGGCTCTCCTGTAGATGTACCAAGGCATGTGTCCGAGGACTCTCTGTACTAATTCCATGGAAGATTTGCCTCTTCTTCATAGGAACTACAGCTGGGGTTGCAGGGATCTCTTCTTCTTCCACATCAGTATCACTGTCTATGAAGTCAGAAGGCTGAGCCCTTTCCAAATGGACCACAGCAGGCCTTCCTGGAGGCCTGCTCTCATCATCCACATCTGTGTCACTGTCTTCCCCAGCAGGTTGGTTCCTCTCCAGTATCACCCCAAGTGGGACCACCCCATTCCTTGCATCCCTTTCAACTTCTGTGTCATTGTTTCTCTCTTTTACTGAACACTGATTCTTTTCAAGCTGGATTTCAGTTGCCATAGCTGTAGACTGTTTTGTCTCTGCAGTGGAGCCTCTTCTGGCAGTTGAGGAGGCCTCTCCTGATGCTGGATGTTGACTTTCTTCCTCATCTGTGTCACTGTCCAGGTTGAATGCAAAAGGTGGCCCAGGGCCATCTGGGGCAGGGGAAGGCCCCTCTTCATCACTGTGAAGGGAACAGAAAGGAAAGAATCTAAAGCATGTTTCCCAAGAAGGAATATTCTACTCAATAGGGCGCTCCCTGAGAGCAGACACAAGGCAGTAGCTGTTTTTTTCTCCCCAGCAATTAGTTCTCTACTTGGCACGTCAGGTTAATGAAAGTTCAGCTGAGCAAAAGACTATGTGCAATTCCCCGGCCCCACTTTCATGATAATCATCTCTCAGAGATGGATCCTATAGCCCTGGTTCCTCCTCCTTTTGAAGACTCAAGTATCTGGTCCTCTGCACTCACCTCTCTGGAACCACTGCAGCTAGAGGGCAGGTTCTTGGTTCTTTCACCACACACCTTTCTGAAGGAGAATCTATAAAGAATAGAAAGGAGTAAGTTGACTATTTTAAACTCACCATCCCCATCTTCTCACCCACCCTCCTAATACACAAACATACCTACTTCCTCCTCTGAGTCCTCAGCCAACAGGAGTCCCTGGGGTTGAGTTCGTCCCTGTACCCTGGGTGTCTCTTCTATAGTTAGAGGGCCCCGGGAAACAAAGGGCAGGGGAACATTCAGGCGATGGTACTGGCAGGGCAAGTCAGCAAAGAGAATCAATTCCTGGTCTCTCAGCCGATGACTCACCCCTGGGCTTAGGACCTTAGGAGGCCTTAGGACTTGAGTACCATTGAGGCTGCCACAATCTTGAAGGACAGGTGCCTTGTCCCAGGCCAAGATTTCAATCACTGCATGTTGTTTGGAGATGGATGAAAAGGGCAGGATCACAGAGCAATCAGGCATTCGGCCTACCATATTCTTCCCGAGATACAGAGGGAAATCTAAGAATTAGAGAGGTAGATAGATTAAGGCCAGAGTCTTGGCCTGCTATCAGGAAAATATTCCTGTTAAGTACCCCACTACTAACTCAAGGTCTCCACATACACAAGAAAATAAAAGGCTGTAGTACACCTAAGTATTGAAGAATATAAGCAATGTTATTCATTGTCAATATCTATCCATCCATATTGGGTTTTTTTCTATTGTGGTAAAATATATGTTAAAATTTACCATGTAACCATTTTTAAGTGTACAGTTCAGGGGCATTAAGTACACTCACATTGTTGTGCAACCATCGCCACCATCCATTTCCAGACTATGCTCAATTTCTATTTGAATCTCTTCACCTTCTCCTACCAAAGTAAAATTGAGCCCATTGAGTCCAGGGCACTTGCCTGGAACAATCAATTCAATCAGCCCCCTCTTCTCCATTCCCAGTGAAAAACATTTTCAGATCTCCTTGAAATATATATAAGCTTCTTGCAACCTTCCAACTACCTCCCCATAAAAATAAGGGGCCTGTGTCAGTACTCGAGCATCTAATAACCTCTGACCTTTTTCTGGTCCATGGGCACTACTGAAGATATGCAGTCGTCCTACAGGCTCCAAGCTACACCCCGAGGATTCACTGGGTATCTCTTTCTCCTCCTCTTCCTCAACCTCCCAGTTAATAGCTTGGGTGTCTTCCATGACCTGGGAAAGAAACACATTATCATCATCTCTATCACAACATTTAATTAAAAAATATTTGTGATGGTTAGTGAGTTGGAGCTCAACATTGGGCTCTATGCTGTCAGCACAAAGCCAGCTTTGAATCCTCTGTCCCCCTCTCTCTCTGCCCTTCCCCCACTTACACACATGCACATGCTCTCCCTCTCTCAAAACTAAATAAAAATTTGTGACTATGATAAAAAATAAATATTGGTGGGGGATAAATATTACAAGGTCCCAAGTACACAAATATATACAAACACACGTGCTTACGTACAGAGACAAACATTTTCAGAAACAATGTTTGCCTTAGGATATACAATATACTGATAGTTTTCATTCCCGTTCTCTATTTTTTAAATGCTGATTTGCAACACACAGTTTGAAAAAAAAAAAAAAAACATTTCAAAGGGAGCCAAATTATGCTAAGCATCAACTATGTGTTGGGCATTGTGGTATATGTCAGGCATAGCAGACATAGGAGGCATGCATTTAGGAAAGTAATGCTAAAAATATTAAATGAGTTGCTCAGAATAACATAGCAAGTAGGTGGAAAGGACAAGAATAAATATGCTTCTGGAGGCAAAGCCCATGGTTTTTACACTTTGCCAGAACATCTCAGTATGATCAGAGTAAACTGCAAAGAATCCTAACAGCTGATATACATACATGCTTGCGATGTGTGAAGCACTGCTCTAGTTACTTTATATCTATCTACCTATCTCTATATATGTACATATATACATATAAGTACATATATTAATATATACAGATTCAGTCCTCACAAGAATCTTGTAAACAACTATTACTATATTCTATTTCTCAGATTAGGAAACTGCAACATACATGGGTTCAAGAACTTGCCCAAGATCACCAAGATACTGTCCATCCTCTGTTTAACATTTGGTGGCTTTTCATGCCCACAGAATAAAGTAAAATCTCAACTCCATAGCAAGACCTTCCATGATCTGAACCTCAGGTCCTACAATGTATGCTCCCCTCCCCCAAAGCCTATGGTTCAGCCATATGGACCTTCTCCCCAATTTCCCAACACAGTTCCTGTTGTCTCCCACACCTGCATGCTTTAGCCAGTACCTTGGCCCTTAACTCCTAGTTTTCTGATCCAACTCCTACCCATGATTTATGATTCAGTTCAACTGTCACTTCCAACAAAGCCTTTCCTGGAGTCTTCCCTGCTTTCTGGCGTTCTTTGTGTACCCACATGTTCCACAGTGGTCAGTAAACTTGTCTTTCCCCTAACCTTTCTCACTATATTGTAACCAGTACTTTCCATTTCTGCCTTCACACACCCTCTCGAGAACTGGACCAGCAGAACTGTGTCTTTTCCCCTAGGACACATCATATTCGCTCGACAGTACCTATTGTGTACCTGGTACTGTTCAAACCAAACATAAAATTAACCCGTCCTCCTGTTGAAAGGGGATGAAAACTCAAAACAGGATGGGTGGAACTCACTTAGAAGGATGTCATCCCAGAGGTTAATTGTTGACAGGGAAAGTAGGACGCGTTCATGGGGATAGTGCTAACTCCGTCCTTAAGACTGGAGGATTCGGCGGGAGCCCGGGACCCTTGGCTCCAATCCAGTGGACCACCATCTTTGATCCCTACCCCAGTGGGTTCCCTCCAGGCCCAATGTCTCATACCTAAACTCGGGGAGGGGCGTCAAGTAAGGATGAGTATTATAATCCGAGAAGCAAACTTCCAAGTATCCTCCGCCCAGTCGCACCCAAGGCACGCCCCTCCCGCCCTCCGGGAGAACCAAGATGGCACCCGAGGAGTCGTGGGCGAGGCCCCCCGAACTCACCTACTTTGAGTCCCCGCGCGCGCCACCAGTAACGGCCACGACCCAGTGGCGCTAGAGCTCGTGCCGGGAGGGAGCCGATTCGCTGATTGGCTCCTGCTGCTGTCTTTCACAGCCCTGCTGCGCGACGATTGACGAAGCTCCCAACGCCGAGACACAAAGCCCCGCCCCCACCCTTAACAGCTTCAAGGGGCTGCTTCTCCCGGGAACCCGAAATCGGTTGAGGGAGGCGGCAATCGGAGGTTGCTCTGTGCGCACAGAATCGCGCACCTCGATTGGACAGCTCCGAGGCACAACCCACCACCGCTTCACCACCCACCGCCCACTTCCCGCGTAGATTTCCAAACCGCAACCACAGAGTCTGGCTGCCGCCGGCGGATAGAGGGGCTTACCATAGTCGTTGCCGGATGCGTTTACTGCAACCAGAGAGCCCTTCCCCGGTCCTCCGAGACATGGAGTCCGCTGACTCATGAGAAATGAAAATGAGGTGTGGGTTGCAGTCGTGGCTGGAGGCTGCAGTTTGGAGAACGGCCCGTAGGCGTGGCGCTTGAGGACTCCCTCATGGAACTTCATTTCCTTCTGATTTGGCTTTTTTAGTAGAAGTCATGTCTGTTGCTCCCTGAGAATACATCCCTGATGGACATTTGGAGGTCATTTTCCTAAGGATCCGTAGGCGAAGAGAGAGAACTGTTTTGTTAACTATCTTAAAGGTTGACCAAGGTCTTTCAAGAGGTGTAGAAAGGATGATAAAATCATCTATTTCATGATCTCATACTAAGAGGAGAAGAGAATAGTAACAATTCGATATGTGTATAATTTAGGAAGTCTTTTTGCGTTCTTTATCTCACTTTCTTCCGACCACAACAATCAAATAAAGAGAATAGATTTTACAGAAGGAATTGAAGGTCTGCGCGGACCTCCCGAGGTTCCTACAGCTAATGTAAGGTAGAGACAACTTGAAACAAGTCCTCTAATTCTAAATTCTGAGGCCTCCCCACTACCACAAAAATAACTGCTTTCATGGTGATCATGCTCCAAAACATGAAATATTCTCTTTTTAGTGGGTAGAGGGGGTCTTATACAACTTGATGTTTATTTTTTTAGGTGAGGAGAAATGTGTTGAATGGATTGTGAATGATGATCTTGTTGTCCCATATTGTTACAGTGCTTCCCACACTCCATTGTTTATACACTTCCCACCAAATTGCAAGATCCTGAAGACCCAGGGAGCTAATATTTACTCTTTTTGTATCCGTAGCTTCTGGTTTGTTGGACACCTAGTTTCTATCAAACGAATTAACCCCTAAGAAGAGGCATGCTACCCTGACTTGAGCCCGTCCAATTTTTTCCCATCAGCTCCCCTCTTTTGTTTCAATCCTGAGGCTTTTGAAAGATTGCAATGACCAGCCACCTCGTCAGTGAATTCAGCAAACTGAAAAACAGTTCCAGTGAAGTGTCTAGAGAGGCAGGCTGGAAGACACTAAAATTCTACCACGCACTTCATCTCAACAGTTCTGTGACAAAAAGCGTCTTTAGTGCTGCTCTAAGGCCCAGAACCCGTTACACGTAGACAAAGACTTCTGGCTTCACAGATTCCAGATAGTTTCTCTAAACCATTCAACTTATTCTTTGAACACACCCTCAGACAATTATATCTCTCTTCTAAAAAGCCCTTGCTGCAATTTGGTTTCTTTCTAAACATTATCATTAGAAAACTTACAAGGAAATAGAGAGGCAATACGCTCTTTCTATCTGGGGGAGCAGCGGCTCACTGGCGCTCATGCCTAGGGGACCAGCCGTTAGATAGCAGAGCAGGGTGCCGCATTTCTCCCGTTTTCGCTGAGCTAAGCGGCCCTCTCTTCCCAAGAGCTACCGCAGCAGGGAGCGTTCGGGGCGTGCCCACTCCACCTTCCAACGCCTGGCACCCTAGGGTTCCCAATTAGTGTGTCCCCGAAAACTACTCCCTCTTAGTACAAAAACTCAGGCATGGGGGAAAGAAATCTTGCGCAAGATCACTTTTCATCAAAACAAAAAACAAAACCCAAACCAAAAATCCAGTATCCACCCATCCCTCCCTCCCTTTTGCAGCGTGGACAACAATGGAGGACTACAACTCCCAGTGAGGCCTGCGTTCCTCCATCCAAGCAGAGACCAATGGACGTCTCATACGTGAGTGGCATCGACTAATCAGGGCCAGCCTAGATAAGGCTTTGTCTCGGGACCGCGGCGCGGGGCGCGTTCTCCCGCCTCCCAGCCTGGGCGCACGCGCGCCCCGCCCTGCCCGCCTTCCCTCCTTTGCCCTCCCCTCTTCTTTCTCCCTCTCAGAACCTTCCTGCAGCTGCGTTCGGACCTCGCTGCTCTAGGCTCCGGGACACGTCCCATCCTTCCAGCCTGCGACTAGCAGTATAGAAAAAAAAATTCCATATCATTTTCTTGCCCCCTACACATCTTGAGGCGAGCAAAAAATTTAAAATAAATTTTAACAATGAGGGAAATCGTGCACATCCAGGCCGGTCAGTGTGGCAACCAGATCGGTGCCAAGGTAAGGATTTTAAACCTCTTCTTTTAATTATATTTCTTTTGAGATGGAAAAAGTCCAGATAAATGATGAAGAATAGTTGTGGGATATATTTGCATTTCATCCATAGTTGAACTTTGCCCCCCAAAAGTTTTCTATACATAATAGACCTCTGTAACTAGATTTCGCTTTTGAAAAACGGGGAATTCTTGGCTGGCTTATTTTGGGAAAGCTATTAAGTACCTTTAGGGTTTGGGGGTGGGGAGACCGTGGTTCTGTAAGATTTTACCTGAAAGTGTTCTAACGGTCTGAGGACCGGGGAGGGAGGAAGATGCGGAAACGGTTCGAGACAAAGCGAAGCGAGGTTTCCCCCATGTGCATCCCCCTTGGCTGGGTTTCGTCGGAGGGGGAAGGAGAGAGGTTGGGCGGCGGCTGCGGAGAGCTCGAATCCCACCCGTGGGCTGGGGGACGCGGTGCGCCAGGGTGGGCTGCGGTGAGCGGTGCCCTTCGCAAAAGATAGGCATCTCGCGCGCCCGCGATCCCTGAGGGGCGGCCCCGTAGTTCTTCGTGGATAGAAGACTAATAGGTGCTGAATTTTATTTCCTTTCATCTCCCGTAAAGAGACCCTTTTAGGGCGTGAACAGATACCGGGAAAGAGGGCGGGAGAGTCCTTTTCTTTAAAGGGTCCCTCAGGAATAACCAGGGGGAGAAAGGAAGATAATCCGTATTTAAAGCGAGGGCTTAAAAGCTAGCCAAGGAATAAAATACCGAGGCCAACCAAGGCAGTGTTGGGGAGTGGTGGTTTTTTTTTTTTTTTTTTTTTTTTTTGCGCGCCGTTACAGTGTAGCGGGGGAAGGGCGGGGAGGAAGTGCTGCTGCTACGTTGTAGCAGAAGGGCGGGGCCGGGAGCCCCTGGCGCGCGGGGACAATGCGGCCCTGCAGACCGGCTGGGGGCGCGCTAGTCCGAGTTGAGCCCCGCCTCGCGCGGAATTCACGCCCCCGCCCACGCGCGACGCACCCTTTGTCAGTGGTACGGCGCGCGCGTGCGCCTCAATCGTGGAGGGAGGGTGGTCCACCGCAGCAGCTGCTTCTTTCTCTACCCCTTGCCCTTTGTACAAGTCCGGGAGGTGCGCTTGTCCAGTCTGGTCTGCCGCCTCCATCCCCCTCGGCACACTCCCACCCCACAATTTCCTGCTATCGCCGGGCATCCTCAGCCGCAACTCCGCTCACATCCCAAGCAGTGAAACCTGCGGGTGGCTTGTGGAAGGAGGTGGCAGGCAGATGGGGGGAATACCGGGCCCTAGAACCGGGCTCACCACCGGGGTGTCTGGGATTAAAATGTGTGGATCGGGGGGGCCTAATTGGCTGGGACCAGAGCTTTTGAGGTCTCATTGCTTTCCCTCGGCAGTTCTGGGAGGTAATCAGTGATGAACATGGCATTGACCCCACCGGTACCTACCACGGTGACAGCGACCTGCAGCTGGACCGCATCTCCGTGTACTATAATGAAGCTACGGGTAAGGGCGGGAGCCCGGGAAGTTTGCCTCCTATCTCCTCTCCCCCTTCTCTGGGGTCTCTTTCCAGCCCTGGAGAGCCCTTTACCACCTTCGGATGGGTCTATCTTTTTTTTTTTTTTAAAGGAGAACTCAACTTAATTTGACTTCCCCGTGGAGCAAAAGATTGGCTCTCCTGCCCCCTGGTGGCAGCACTTGGAATCACAAGTTTGGGTCCTTGGTCTCCCAGCCCCAATTTATCTTGTCTGCCAATTTTTACTTTGCTTTCTTCCATATAGGTGGCAAATATGTTCCTCGTGCTATCTTGGTGGATCTAGAACCAGGGACCATGGACTCTGTTCGCTCAGGTCCTTTTGGGCAGATATTCAGACCAGACAACTTTGTTTTCGGTGAGTTATACACATATTAGTAGATAATGTGCTGTTCAATTTACTAGTATGAAGGAAACAGGAAGAATTAGGAGATAATTGTTATACTGGAGAGCTTACCTGGGGCTGTGTTCTGAAATCTCTAATGCAGGGTGTTGGTAGTGACTACCCTAGGTTGTAAATAATGGGGGGGGGGTATATCACAGGTGAGTGAGAAAGAAGGCACATTCATGGACATTTTTCCAAAAGTTGAAGGTGGAATTTGGTCTTTTATCTCTAACCTTACTAACCAAGATTGCCTCCTGACCCCATTCCAGGTCAGTCTGGGGCAGGCAACAACTGGGCCAAGGGCCACTACACAGAGGGGGCTGAGCTGGTTGACTCAGTCTTGGATGTGGTACGGAAGGAGGCCGAGAGCTGTGACTGCCTGCAGGGCTTCCAGCTGACCCACTCACTGGGTGGGGGCACAGGCTCTGGAATGGGCACCTTGCTCATCAGCAAGATCCGAGAAGAATATCCTGACCGCATCATGAACACCTTCAGTGTGGTACCTTCACCCAAAGTGTCTGACACTGTGGTTGAGCCCTACAATGCCACCCTCTCCGTCCATCAGTTGGTAGAGAACACAGATGAGACCTACTGCATTGACAACGAGGCCCTTTATGACATCTGCTTCCGCACTCTCAAGCTGACCACTCCAACCTACGGGGACCTGAACCACCTTGTCTCAGCCACCATGAGCGGTGTCACCACCTGCCTTCGCTTCCCTGGTCAGCTCAATGCAGACCTCCGCAAGCTGGCAGTTAACATGGTGCCCTTCCCACGTCTCCACTTCTTTATGCCTGGCTTTGCACCTCTGACCAGCCGTGGAAGCCAGCAGTATCGGGCCCTTACTGTGCCTGAACTCACCCAGCAGGTCTTCGATGCCAAGAACATGATGGCTGCCTGTGACCCCCGCCATGGCCGTTACCTCACTGTAGCTGCTGTCTTCCGTGGGCGGATGTCCATGAAGGAGGTAGATGAGCAGATGCTCAATGTGCAAAACAAGAATAGCAGCTACTTCGTGGAATGGATCCCCAACAATGTCAAGACGGCTGTCTGTGACATCCCACCCCGTGGCCTCAAGATGGCAGTCACCTTCATCGGCAACAGCACGGCCATCCAGGAGCTCTTCAAGCGCATCTCAGAGCAATTCACGGCCATGTTCCGGCGCAAGGCCTTTCTCCACTGGTACACAGGTGAGGGCATGGACGAGATGGAGTTCACTGAAGCTGAGAGCAACATGAACGACCTTGTCTCCGAGTACCAGCAGTACCAGGATGCCACCGCAGAAGAAGAAGAGGATTTTGGCGAGGAGGCTGAAGAGGAGGCCTAAGAGCATCATCACCGTAGCCTTCTCTGTTCCCTCAGCCTTCTTCCTCAACTGCCCCTGTCCTCTCCCTCAGAATTTGCATTTTCTGCCTCCATCTTGTTTTTTGTTTTTCCTTTTTTGGAGGGGGGTTCCTAGAACAGTGCCTGGCACATAATAGGCGCTCAATAAATATTTGTTGTTTGTTGAATGTCTCCTCTCTTCCACTTTGGGAAAACCTAGATTTCTGCCATTCTGGGTAACCTGGTATTCCCCTTAGGTATACATTTCTCTCATCTGTCCAGTTGATATTTCCCTTTGTTTAAGAAGCTGGAATTCATTAGATCTCATTTAGAACCATATGCTGAAAACCCAGTAGATGGCCACTATCCTAAGCCCATGTGGTAGCCCAAGGGAAAGGAAACCAACCCACCTCATAACAGGTAGAGGTACCTATAAGGGTTAGGGTTTTCTATTCCAGAGCGGTTTTGGGGAAGGCTATACAGGCTATTGAAGTCCTGATTTCCGGGAATTTCCCTGTTATTTCTCAGCTTTAGGGAAGGTGTTAACAGTATTATCTCCATTTTTAGTCTCCTTCCAAGCTCTGTCCTGTTTCCTTTGTAGGGTTCTGCCCACTCTGTTGAGTGGGATCCTTCCCTCTTCTATGCAACCTCTTTCACATGTTGGATTCCTTTTCCCATGGTTGGAGAAGGCCAAAAGGGGGAAGAGGGACTGACTTTGGTCCCTAAAGCCTCCAGAAAGGCCCTCCCCATCTCCACTTTTTCTTACAAACCTAGCCCTGCCATGTATAAGGTGTGTATTGCCACCTAAATACTTGAGTCATTCCTCCAGAGAAGGGACAAGGAGAACCCTCCATCTTTTGGCACCATCTCATCTCTTCCTTTTGCTATTCCTTTTATCCACCTGCCCTTGGTTTTGTCCTGTCCTACACTTCAAATTTCTATTTTGTGTTGAACTTGCTTTTTTTCATATTGAAAAGATGACATTGCCCCAAGAGCCAAAAATAAATGAGAATTGAAAAGAAGTTGTGAGGTGTGTGCTCATTTAGGGAAAGCTTGCCAGTGGACACATGAAGCTCAAGTTCAGTTATACATATACTCTGCTTTCCATAAGCTGATGAGAATATCCTTATACTTAATTGACTTTCATTTCTTAGCCCTAGTACCCAAACCACCCCACTACCCTTACTACCAGTCTCAGTAACTGGGATAGGCATAGGCTCAGATGCAGGATCTATGGACAGAAATGGAAACTGAGATGATTGTTAGTGTGTAACTGGTTCCCAGACCAGCAGGCATCAACATCCTTTTGGAACTTCTAGAAATGCAGATCCTCAGGCCTACTGGGATGTACTAAACCAGAAACCAGTTGACTACAGCAATCTGTTTTAACTGTAGTCTGGGAGAATCTCATGAATGAAGAGTTGGAAGCTACTACTGCACCACTTCCAAAGTATAGCACATCCAGGGTTCATTTGGGTTATGGCTCTGTGTCCTGTTTTCTGTTACCCTTTGGCGTTTTCTCAGTTAACACAAGGGAAAGATTAACTAGTGAGGGATGCCACGTCATGGTCTAAAGTGACTTACACCTAAAACCTACCCCATGCTTCTAAGTACACAAAATAAGTCTCAAAGCTACCTTAGAAATTTAACATAATTTTCCTTGGCCCTATTTTCAGTAATTCTGGGGACTAGTGCAGTTCTCTCCATTCCTCTCATTTCAGCATGCTTTCTGCCTGTAGCCAACTTTTGCAGGAAAAAAAAAGTTGTGCAACTTTAACAGTGTATAAGTAACTTCTCCCATTCTAAAAAGTACTTAATTTTTTTTTGTATCTTTTTTGTTTTTGAGAGAGACAGCACGAGTTGGGGGGGGGCAGAGAGAGAGATGGAGCCACAGAATCCAAAGCCAGCGCCAGGCTCTGAGCTGTCAGCATGTGGGGCTCAAATGCAGGAATCGTGAGATCATGACCTGAGCCAAAGTGAGTCACTTAACCAACCGAGCCACTCAGGCGCCCCTTAAAATTTTTAATGTTTATTTTTGAGAGAGAGAGAGCGCGCAAGCATGAGTGGGGGAGGGGCAGAGAGAGAAGGAGACACAGAATCTGAAACAGGCTCCAGGCTCTGAGATATCAGCACTGAGCTCAATTCGGGGGTTGAACTCTGGAATGGCAAGATCATCACCTGAACTGAAGTTGGATGCTTAACTGACTGAGCCACCCAGGTGCCCCAAAAGTCTACTGAATGAAGGGAATAAGCTACATACTAGCATTCATTTTGAATGAATTCTGCTTTATTAATTGTTCATCAGTATTTGTAATTTGTAATTTTTTTTTATTTTTGAGAGAGTGTGAGCAGGGGAGGGGCAGAGAGACAGGGAGACACAGAATCCATAGCAGTCTCCAGGCTCCAAGCTGTCAACACAGAACCCAATGCAGGGCTTGAATCCACAAACTGCAAGATCATGACCTGAGCTGAAGTCGAATGCTTAACTGACTGAGCCACCCAGACACTCTAGTGTTAGTGCTTCTTAACAGCAATTGATTTGACAAAGTTGCGAACCTCCAGGCCATCCCTCAAGTTTGGGTCAGGAAAATTCTAGACAATAGGCTCACACAGTGTAATTAGGAAGTTAAATAAGCTGGGTGAGTAGGATAATCAGAAGACTGGCATGGGAACCCTGGGGGACTGATACTCTTGGCAGTGTAGGGTTGGCAAGGGGAGCAACCATTCCCTTTCAAGGCAAGGCACAGGCAATTTGGCAAGGAGATGAGGGGTGGGACCCCAATGTCAAAGTACATGCTCAGGGAAGCCAGTTGTACATGCAGTATGGGAACCATTCTGGCAACTTGAGCCATGAGGCTAGGCATCAGCGAAGGTTGACGGCTCAAGCTGTTCGCAAAGGCTTGTGGTTAACCTGGCAAAAAGACAATGGTGATGACACTTGGGAACCAGGTACCCTATTCTCCCAGCTCCCCATTTGGATGAAGGCTGAAGGGAGGACATGCATTTCCAGGAGTCTTCTAAGAAGTTTTTTTTCTGCCACCCTACCCTACCCTCTTGTCAAGTGGTCATTAGGACCCATGTACAGCAACATATCACTGAAGAGGAGTGGAGAGGGCCAGAGCCCTTTCACAGACCCTCCTCAGCTCCTAATCTCTCAGTGCTTTCAATGAAGGCCTCAAGAAGGCTCCAAGGAAACTAACTTGAAGGGCACTTCTATATATTTTTAATTTTTATTTTTTGAGAGAGAGAGAGAGAGAGCGAGCGAGCAGGGGAGGGCCAGAGAGAGAGGGAGAGAGAATCCCATGCAGGTTTTGCACTGTCAGCACAGAGCCTAATGCAGGGCTCGAACTCAAAACTGAGATCATGACCTGAGCTGAAATAAGAGTTAGACACTTAACCAACTGAACCACCCAGGCACCCCTATATATATATATATAATTTTTTTTAATGTTTATTCATTTTTGAGCAACAGAACAGGAACGGG